TTTCCTCAGTGCAACAAGTCTGTTACATCTCATTGATATTACTGGGCTGCCACCATGTGGACATACATTGAATTACAGCAACCAGTTGATAGACGGCTATCTGCACCTTTAATATGCTTACAGTAGTGAATCAAAGTAAGTCACCAAGTAGCAGAAATAGATCACTGCTGACTCTGTGATTTTACCATTTATCTTGGGATATAAGGCGCACAGAATCTCTAAACAACATCTTCAAAAGCCAAAGGAATTTGGAGGCCTAGGCCTACCATGCTTCTTACATTATTACTGGGCTGCTAATAGCAGAACGATGGTATACTGGCAACTGGCTAATGACCCTGATCCACAGACAGAGATACCATCCTGGTTAGCAATAGAACAAAGTCTACCTCAAAAAACCTCCCTCAGGGCAATTCTTTTTTCATCACCATGGTCAAGAGCCTCTTGTAAGGGAGAGCATTACACAATAATTAATGCTCAAAAAATTTGGGCACAGATTAGAAAATTTGTGAACTTCCAAAAACATCAGTGCACGCCCCTGTATGGCATAACCATGCCTTTCTCCCTTCAAACGTGGACGCAGTCTTTAAAGAGTGGAGTAGGAAAGGAATAGGGTCCATAAAAGATCTTTATGCTGATAATCATCTCTGTTCATTTGAATTATTGCAAAAAAAATATGATTTGCCAAAATCAAACTGCTTTAGGTATTTACAGTTACGTCATTACATAAGACAAAATATCTCATCATCTGACTCCCTCCCAGAAGAAAATTCTTTTTTTAAGCTCCTACTTGGCCCACCAGGAGCAAAAGGTTTGATTTCAAAATTGGTTTGTATTTTCTCCTACAAACTTGCACAGCCTGAATTTAAACAAATGTGGGAGGCTGATCTCAACATCACTATTCAAGATGAAATATGGAAACAAGCTTTAAATGACATTCACCATTGCTCAGTCAATGCTAGGCTACAATTGATTAAATTCAAGGTCATACACAGGTTACACTATTCAAAGGTTAAGTTGCATAAAATCTTTCCCCAAACTTCCCCCCTGTGTGAAAGGTGCAAGAAATCAGATAGCACACTTGCACACCAAATTTGGCTATGCCCTGAGATTCAAGACTTCTGGTGTTCGATTTTCAGATGGTATTCTCATATACTTAAAGTAAACCTGGATCCTGACCCTGAAACTGCTTTACTTGGCATTTCTAACACTTTGGACAAGATGGGTCGGAATGTTAGTACAGTGGTGGCCTATGGTATGGTCATAGCAAAGAGATGTATTTTGAGAGTGTGGAAATCTGACTCACCACCTAAGTTTGAAGCCTGGCTGAGGGAGCTTGTAGGAATCCTCCACATTGAAAAACTGAGATATGAGATATCCGGTAAGTTACAGAAATTTTGTGGTGTGTGGGGACCTATCTTGGAGTACTTGAAACTGTAGTCAACCCCCCTAAAGAGTATCTATCTTGACATAATTGATGTACTCAAGTGGACATTCAACTCTGATACTATGTTAAGCCTCTTTGTGTGTATCTTTTTTTACACGTTATAGTCTGTGTCAAAATTTCTTTTTTATTATTTCTTTTTTCTTTTTTTTTTTTCTTTTTCTTTTTTGTATTATTATATATGTGTGTGTTTGTCTGTTGCTCCGATTGTTAAGAAAATTGACAATAAAAATATTAAAAAAAGAAAGAAATAGATCACTGCTTTATGGCAATATTTGACCATGTGATAATCATACATCTCTTTATTTTTTAAATAAAATGTATTGATTGTGTCATTCTTTGACAGTAATGCAAGGCCAGCTCAAGATTTACAATGTAGATGAATGTAACAATGATAACTTCACAGGTATGAAACCCAGTCCCTCTGGCTGAGGAAATTGTAGTGCTTTTTTGGAGTATTTGTCGTTTTAGCTCAAGATCATTGACAAACCTTTTTTTAATGTCCTGTAGAATGGAAGTTGACACAATAATAATACCATTCAGTGGCTGTGGCTGAAGGAGACCTTCCAAGGAGAGGAATGACCAAAAGCTTGAGAACAGCTATGGAGATTGTGGTGAGATTATTTTCTCAACCTGAATTCTATTATAATAAATTAAGTTTAAGTCTGGGCCTGTATACTAGAGGTTTGTAATATGCTGATCCCATAGTATATACTGTATGGTATATATCTTAATGCTGTAGAGTTCTGCAGATTGCCTTACCCTGTGTGAAACCCAGTCCTCTCAGCTGACTCAGTGCTTCAACCTTTCTGTTAAGGACCGGGGAAAAGAGAAGAGACCATTATTCTCCAAATTCAACAGTGAATGAAACGTGTCTTCATTTGGCCACATGGTGGCGATAGAGTCTAACTTTGGCAATGGCGTGACAGCCACTTCCTCATTATGCAATCATCACATTTCTCTGCGTGCTTTTTTTCTCTGCTTTCATTGGCCCATTATAATATTGACATTATAAAGATAAGTTCCTGATCCTTTCTTCTGAAACAGGTTTTAGAGCAAAACATTAACTGACTGTACAAACTCTCTAAAATGGCCAGTTAATATTTTTGCATCTTGATATACAACACACATAATGAATGTGCATATTGTAACCTCCACTTATTTTACATACACTTCAAAGTGATTAATTCTCATAATGATAAAACTAGCTACAGTACAATGTGTACAATATGTGTTGCACTGACAAAACATATTTTACACATTGTACACATTGTACTGTGACTTGGTTATTTGAGCTAGCTAAGTGGTTTCAGTCAAAATGTAAACATTTACATGAGTACTCAGTCTGTGTTATTGTCAAAGACGACAGTAAGTGCAGCTATAGAATCATTTTAAGTTTCTGATTTCATCATGTATATGCATTATGTGCGTTCTCTGCACCACATCTGGAAAATACCTAATATATTACTCTAGCTGATTACTTCCTGATTTGATTAACGTGCATTACATGACACACATACTGAACACAGTATGCAAACAGGGTGGTGCCTAAAAAGTCCCCCTCCACTCAGAGTTTGACACTAGAAGGATGTTTTTCACATTCATTTGCGGAAAGTGGATGGTTTCTCTGTGCTCAATGAAAATCAAGTTTTTAAGAGCAGGGCCTACAAGCATGATTTGTGACATCACAAATAGTTTGGTCTAGTATGCAACTTCTACAGGTGTGATACAGTGCACATACACTGAGAATTAATACATGTCTGGTAGTAGTGCTCGCAGTCACTGAACCATATTTGATTTGTTAAAGTAAAAACCAGCAAAATCTTAATGAATACTATTTAATTGTGAATCAAGTGTTTCAGAACACAATTTCGCACACTGACACAAAAAATCATGGTGAACTCAGCTCACTTAGCTGGTGCGCTGGTCTGATCTGAAATGTATATGTGCATTTTGGAGCCACGTGCTTCCTCTCTTGCTCTGCTTGTTGTCAAAGTGACCACATTTCATTTCTAGCAAGGAAGTCACCAAGGCAAAAATGCAAATCACGTGCCACATGCAAATAACTGCTAAGGTCACTCATGCTATGACTACATACAAATACAAATATGTTTCTGATAACCTCAGGTGTCAGATTTCTATTTGTGACCCACATGCTTTAATGCTATAATAACATAAATCAGAATTCCCCTTTAGTTTTTCAGAACGTCACAGAGCAGTACTGCTTTCCTATAGGTGACATAATCTATGACTTTTTCATCAAAATCTTTAACATTACATGTTTTTTCTCTCTGTGTGATCTTTGATAATGCAGACCAAGGATTAAGACATTGTTAACTCTGAGGGCAGAGTTCTTATTTACTTGTTCCACAGGGTTGCAGCTTACTCTGCATTTCTTTGCTTCAACTTGAGCCATAATAGCAGACATTTTCACCACATCTGCATATTATACCTGACACTAATACAATATTTTTCTTTAAACCAAATTAATCCAAAATCAGAGGTGAAACTTTTCAGTCTCGCTTACTTCACATGGTATTTTCTCTGCCAATGTAGAGCTAGTGGCAAGAAGTTTGTGTTTGCTTGAATGAGCTTAAGAACAACGATTCCACCTGGCTTACAGCCTTTACCCTGACTGAGATACTTTCCAAAAAGAAAAGATCATATCGTATACTTTTTGTCGTGTTAACATTCACTTTTTAAAGGCACACGTGGGTTGTCACCCTGCTGTGTTAGACCTGTTATAGGAGTTACCAACAAAACAAAAGCTGACTGGAAATAATCTTTTAAGTCCCAAATTTCATTTACATAAACTTATACTTATGCAATAATCTTTTACAAATGTCCCTTGACTGACCTTTAATGGTTTCCGTTAATGCAGTTGCACAACTTGGCTATTGATGAGTCATTTTGCTGTTAATGTTATTTGCTTATTTTTGTACCATTGCCCTAAAAACTTCTCTATAAAGATGCCGTTGCAGCTGTTAAACCTGAGAGCACAAAACACTTCTCACACTCAGATGCAAATCATTTAAAATCAATATCAATATTTAGCGATTTTAAGAGCACCTCCTTCAAAACAGGTAGTCACACCCACTTGATAATAACAATTATAAAGTATTTCTGATTCACGTTAGCGTATGTGCAGAAGGTATCACTTACTAATATAGCAAAAAGATGTCATCACATACTCTGAGTGGACCTGCTAATTTCATTATTATTAATACTGGGGAATAATTATAGGCTAGTGATATGTCTACACGCTGCAGTGTAATAAGTTCATTCAATACCAACTTTATTGTTGGTAATATGGTATGGTTTATTTTATTTTATTTTATTTGCATTTCAGTTATTTATTATTTATTATCCTTATTATGCATCATTCTAGTAAAAGAGTCACTCTGGAAAATCGCCTATAAACATAAGAAATGTGCTCTGTGATCCTTGAAGTGCAATCAAAAACTGTCTCCTCTCTCCATGCACGTTAAAACCACATTTCCCACAATCCAGTGCGGCAAAAGTCGCCGCACCTTCCCCGGGTGGAGCTTGTGAACGTGGGGACGTTAGTGGGTTGCTGCTGGAGTAAAAAAAAAAAAAAACTGTTTGACAGGGAGGTGAGGAGACCTGGCACACGGGGATCGGAGACAGAAGTTAAGTTCTCAGTGTGTCTGTGGCAGTTTCCGAGTCAACGGGGAGGCTGACTTGAGAGCGACAAATGATCCGTACGAGTCTAAGCAACAGGGCACGGAGCGATATGTCAGGGACTGTTTCAGTCTTGAGCAGAGGAAGGCGCGACTAGTACACCGCAACGCGGAAAATATTGAAGGGGGGTGAGAATGCGAATGGTGCGAAGATACCGAAATCAAACAAAATGGAAACGATGTAGCGTCGCTGCGGCATTTCATATAGCTAGAACTAACGTTAGAGTAGAGAACAGATAGCTAAAGGAGCTAGCAGGTTAACTAACATACATGTAAAGTTATTCCCCGGAGAAGCTGAAAGCAGAGCCCGGAGGCGTCTGTTGAATCGGAGGAGTTCATCAGTACTGCGAAATCCAAGAAGATAAACGAGAAGATGCTACGGAGAAGGCTGAACCGTTTGGTATGTGTGCCTGTGGCATCAACACACACACACACACACACACACACACACACACACACACACACACACACACACACACACACACACACACACAGTGTTAGCTTATGACATCCTGCTGCTCCTGCTAGCGTTTAACTGCTGTGATTCTGCCCTAGAAGAATGTACCCTGACATTCCCAGTCACTTCCTTCTGCCATGTTTTTTCCTCCTCCCCCCTCTTTTTGCTGTAAATGCGTGAGAAACTACCGATACAACAAACTGCTACTTCACACTGCCTGACAACACCAAACAGCTGTTGTGCCACTTCATTGGTCAGCCAGTTTAGCTAACTGCTAGGTAAGTTCTCACCAGCCGGGGAAAGTCACGACAGATGAGAGTTTGATGTTAGCTACACTCTCAGCCGTTAAACTACACTCCCAGGTCACATACACGGGGGATTGGTTGTGTTACATGCTTGCTTTCCACCATGTAATCCCACCTTCACCTTCACAGAGTGTACAGTGGAAGCACCTGTGTGTTGTATGTGTGGTTGGAACATTACGAGAGCAGGTACCTGTCCGGAAGAGAGGTGGGCTGCTCTTCTCTGGGGAACCCAAATGCTAAACATATATGAATTATATTATATTGTATTTAAAACAATGGAGCCATGTAATTAGCCAAAATGCTAAATATATTACTGGTTCTAGGTTTGTGTTTTTATGTAGAATATGGAGTTTGGACCATTGTTTGGACAAAATAAGACATTTAAAGACCTACTTACTGGTGATGGATATTTCATATAGGTTTCTGACTTATAGATTAAACAATTGATTGGTTAATAGAAATATATTCCTGCAGTTTACTTGTTATGCAGGAGGCGTAATCATTGTTTCAATTTGTGCCACAGTCCCATTATGCTTTAGTGTTTCTTTGTACCCAGCCACTGGATTTATTTCAATATATGAAGTTGGTATTTTGCCAGCATTAACTGCTTTGACATCATATTTCACGATTGGTCAATTTAATGCATACCCTTTTAAAGTTCATCCACTGGTTTCACTGCCTTCTCATACGTTTATCAGTCACAAGTGGGCTAGTTGAAAGTGGAGTAACTATCCGCAAGGCCAGGTTTATAATGCTAAACCGCCTTTACGGCCTCTTTATCATCCTCTTATGCACCAGTAACCTGTTGTCACCAGTGTGTTGAATCCCCCAAAGGCTATGTGAGCAGTATAGATACCGACAGTGAATAAGGGGAAGCAATATAATAATTATAGTGCCTGACCCTCCTCCTGGCCTCTCTCTAAGTGTTGCCAGGTCAGCTGATTTTCCCGCTTCTGGAGAGGATTGCTGCTGTAATTTCTCTTCAGTGTGAGCTGTAAATAATATTTTGTGCAGAGCAGCCAGCCATACTGTCATTGATGCACACATTGCCGTTATCTCAGGCTCTGGCTCTGTGCCTCCTGATTCACACCACGCTCCCCTTGCCCACGGGAGGTACATGTGCATCATGAAGCAGGAGTAAGATAGGACTGGGGGGGGGCTTATACCAAAAGGCACTGAGCTTCATGTGTCTCCCTTGACTCTCCCACTGTGGTGCACTGTGCCACTAAACCTTGAGTGTGTCTTTGGAAAATCACTAAAGATGGCTGTGGGAACGAGTGGGGCTGCTCCAGAGGTTGTAATGCTCTGACAGGAATGCAGAATCACACAGTTGCCTTTGATGTTCGTTCAAGCCCTTGAAGGCAGCAGTATGATCTGTGAGAGGTGGAGCCTGGCGAAAATGTGATAGTATTCATTGTGGGAGCTCCTGCCTTTACTGCAAGAAGAACAGCACCGACACATGAAAACACCGTCACCCAGGCAGCACATCAGTATCTTCTTTTGCACCATGGTAACCAGTAGGCCTCCTCCTACTCACTAGCTCAGTTGAAATCATACGTGTGAAGTTTATGATTCATATTTTGACTCTGTTGTTGTACACTGTAGTCCTGTCCAGTCCTGCAGAGCCCAGTTAAAGGGACGAAGCTCGACAGGCGCTCTTACCTTGTGCACAGAGGCAGGACACAAATGGATCGCTCTCATGTTCTCATTCTAGTCTGGTCATTCCAGTTTCTCAATTGTGAGGATTTGCTGCTTTTTTGTAGGTAATAGTAAACCGAATATCTTTGGAGTTTCTTTTCTGTACAAACTGATAAATCTATAAAATAATTGGCAGATTAATTGATAGTGAAACTTGTTATTGTTAGTTGCTGGCAGCACTAGAAAATAAGTTTAATGGTTATAATTCATGTTTCCTGTGTAAAGCCAAGGTTGATTTTTATTTAGCATCATACACCAAGAAGAAGGATTGCATTTTAATTACCGCTTATATATTGTAATTTCTTTTGTCTGAGTAGCATGTTAAAATACCATGTGAGAATGTACTCCAACCAAGGCCTTGTGGGAGATTTGAGTCTACAGGTTTACATTTTGATTCATAAGCACTCCAGTGATGTCATGGCATTTACACAACTCATTTACATTACATAGAACATCCTCTTTTGATGCTATGAGTGTTTTTCTGTGTGTCAATGTCTTGTTATAGCACATAAGTCTGCTTAGGGTACACTGCCTCTCTGGACCTTTTCTTTCTCAGTAGGGCTTCCCCCTCACCATCCTGCCCTCCTCTCTGCCTCTCTTGAGTCAATCCTGCTGCACTGAGGCCTGCCAGTCTCAGATTTGTCTCTACTTGAATGTGACCCAGGCAGTAGTCAGCAGGCCCTTGCCTGGCAGGAGATGTTGTTGTGTGAAGGATTGCATGTCAAATGCTGTGGGAAGCACCGGGTCTCTGTAAACCTGTTTGTCGGGTTAGTTAAAGATAGCTGAGATGTACACACAACTAAGCGCAAACAAGGTTGACATGCACACACCTGCACATTAAGGTGATTTTGTGCAAACCTCTTTTGCTAACATAAACACACGAGGTTAAATCTTTTTTTGAGACTTTATCCGCTATCACTTTTCCCAGGAGGGGAAGCTAATGTGTTGTACTGCTGCAGTACAATAGAGTACTTCCATCTGACCTGCATGTATTGGGGTAATGAGTCAAATTTCCAATTTACTGGTATTCAGCAATGTCAAATGTAGCTTATGCTTTTTTCAATACTGTATTTTGGTTTTGCTGCATTGCCTCCTGTGCTTCAGAATGCTCCAAATATATTATCTATTTTGCATTCAGGTCAGTCTTGCTTTTACAAACTCACATCTAGTAGCACCTGTTGGGAAGATATTAGGGGCTTTTATTAACTGATGAGATACAAGAGTCCTCGAACAGAGTTGACACTTTGGGGATTAGTACATCTGAAGGCCACAGGCCATACAAGGCACTCAGGGCCATTTGATTTATCAGGTCTGTTTGATTAGGAGAGATGTGTATTGATTAGAGCCATGCTCAGTTTTGCCGCCATTAGTCTTGCAACGCGAACCGGCTGGCGAACAGAATTGCTTAGTCTGATTTCTTTCTCTTCCTTCCTCTCTCTCCGTCTGGTCTCCTGCATTCTGCCCAGTAATGGAAACCCAGCCAAAGGAGCTCATCTGCAACACACAGCAGGATAATAAATATATTTAGTGTGGGGAGGGAGGCAGTGTGAAGGAATAAACGGCGGGCTGTGTGATAGTGGGCTGATGAAATGTAGTGGGGGAATACGGAAAGCCCTGCGTGACTAAAACCCGAGAAACTGGAGTGAAACCAGGGGGTGGACCTGTAGCCTCTTTGCACCTCTCCATCTCTTTCTCCACCTAATTTTCCACTTCCTTTTAAAAGCTAGGTTGAATTCTCAGTTTGTACCTCTAAATAATTCATGTTGCTTCATTTATTTTGAATTCTCCTCTCATCGCTCCTCCCTCTCCTGACCCATGTATCCTCGCCAGGCTAGCGGCACTCAGGATGCATCCTCATCATCCATATATGTATAAAGGCTCATCTAGAGATTTTCTGTGCCATGCTCCAGCTCTAGCATTACCCAGAGAGCATTTGCAGTGAGATGTGAAGAGAATGCTGAGATGTGTGGGGGGGATGGTTTTTTTTTTTTTTTGGTCTGTGTCTATGTCTCACTCTCTGTGTCTGAGCACGGAGGGAGAAGGAGAAACGCCAGCATCTGTGATGTTTTGTCATCCTAATTTTTCATTGTCACCTGAAATGATAGGGTACTTGCTAACACTGAGGAGACCAGCAGCAAAGTCTGTGTGAGGATTTAACGAGTGCTGAAAGACATAGGAACCCATACATGGTCACGGGAGCACCTAGGTTAAGCAACAGCCTACAATTATTATCTCTACAGGAAACTCCCAGCTAGGCAGGCAGTATTTCTCAGTCACAGGGAGAAGAATTGCTCTCTTAAAAGTGGTCGCAGATCAGTGGGAAGAAACGGTTGGTGAGAAAACCCAAACCCAATTCAACCATGCCCTCTGAGCAGAGGGAAGGCAAGAGCCACATTGATTTTTGTCATTAGTTTCGTTGCCCTCCTATGCAGTGTCTAAGGATAATTAATTGAATAGCAATTACAGCCAGTGTAGCCTGGTACATTATTAAAGATAATGTCATCAGTAGGGCTGTAGCTGAGATGGAGATTTTTAAAGCTTGTCAGCATTAGGATGTGCTAAACGTTTTTTTGTTGGTATTGCATGGCTCTCTGCCAGACATAGTTGGGGGGGGTGAAAGCCATTGTATTGTTGTGCAGTTTAGTTAAGTTACAACCCATACACTACACAGAAAAAGCACCTTCATCTAAGTAACTGAATCTGGTGATATGTTGCACACAAAAACAGAGTATGTGCACTTGGCTGGAAAAACCATACTCCTTTTATAGGCACACTACTTTAAATTCTCTTTAATTATAGATTAAAGTGTGACTAGGCTGCTGCTCGAAAATGTGCTCCCCTTTCCTGGTCTTTAAGCACAAAGTGTGGAGGTTGTCTCCGTAAGAACACTATTCACGTCTTGAGTATGGTAGCAATGGGACAAAGTACAAGCTGGAGAAG